AAATCTTGTGGTCGAATTGGGTTGTGCGGAAATCCGGATAATAGACCATCGTATCCGGATACCTTCGGTTGATTATCCGGACGCTCAACAGGGGGAATTTGCCACGTCCGCGTCGCCGCTCAACAGAACCAACACGTCCCAACGCAGCTGGCCGCTGCGACCAAGGCCGGGCTTGTTGGTCAGGTCGTCGAAGCGATTTCCGATCGTTGTGTGAGGTCGTCGGCCGTGTTCGAGTTTGATGGCGTGCCGAGGTGTCGTGGAATCATTGAACGTCCAGGAATCGTTCAAATTGGCAGTCTTCCTTGCTCTCGACGGGACTTGGCAGCCAGAGTCGGCACCAGATCACCTACGAATTTGACCGACAGACACAGTCTTGACGAGCGGCCAGCATCGCGCCACGCAGCCAGACGGTGTACGCCGCACCAACGTCCTTCATGGCGATCGGTCGTGCATGCTACGACGCCCTTACTCCCGTGCCTCGGCCCGCCTCTCTTGGAAACGATCTGGGAATCGTTGGGCCAAACGATAGCTTCACGCGATCGTCTGAGCTGGTCCCATGCCTTCTCTAGCAAGAGCACTCACATGGACAAAACTAATTTTTGTTACGTAGTAGACGGCAGCTACAGCTTCATCTTGCACAGTACGCGCTTAGGCCAGCTACGCATGCGACGTTGCGGGCTTGGCAGGATGTGCCGCCCAGTACGCGATGAGCGGCGCTGCTCCGCGCAACGTGGCGACCAGCAGGACGAGCTTGGGGAAGTCCGTCTGGCGCGCTGTCAGCAGTGCCGCGTTGCCTTGCCAGATTTGTTGGTAAAAATCAAGCCAGAATATATCGGCGTACGAGATCTTGTCCCCGAGAAAGTATGGACCGACCAGGCGCGCTTCCAGACCAGCGAGGATGCGCGGGAAGATCTTTTCGTTGATGGGGACGATCGACGCCTTGAGGTGGTCTTCGCCCTTCATCGAGTGGACGGCGTCGACGAACACGTTGGTCATTTCCACGATTGCGTCCACGACCGAGTCGACTTCAAGGGCGTCGAGATTGTCCGTCGGGTACAGCCCGACTTCCTTGGCGACATACCGTGCGATCGCAATGCTCTGGGCGTACGTTTTCCCGTTCGTGCGCAAGACGGGGAGCTGGCCAAACGGCAGGCCGAGGGTCGGCTTGGCTGCCGAGTAGGCCGGGAACGATAGACGCGTGTCTTCGAACGACTTGTTGCCGTACGCCAGGAGCAATCGGATCGCCTCCGCGCGCCACGTCTCGTCAAAGTACACCAGTTCCAGACTCATGAGGATCGATGGGTGGGTGCGAAGCAAGATGAAAAATGTGGCTGGCGATGGTCCAGCATAGATTGGAACTGGCGCCAATGCCAGACTCGCTCGCTGGCGCCGAAACTTGGCGCAGGATGAGCGCCACGTGAACGACGCCCCATTCCCGCCTTGTGCACAATTTGATGGGTACGTCTATATTGAACAAACTATTCTGGCTTTGACCGCACAAAATAGTTCATGATCGGTGTGCGATGCCTTTTCGAGCAAAAATCGACACAATAAAAATGCACCCTCCTCTTGAAAGGATGTGGGCATTTTGATGGCCAGGTATGTAACATAGCCCTGGGAATAATCTTTAAAGGGGTCCCAGAGAGGTGTCCTCGATTGCACGGCTCGTGGAAGAGCTGTACGGAGGAACACAATTCGCGGGGCGGAAGCTCGACGGCCATTACTCGAATCAAATCACTCGGGAATAAGAGACGAAAAATCAGCCAATCAAACAATTCCTGCCAAAAATGGGGTGAAAAATCGATGTCAACTCGAACGTTGCATGGACTTGTCAAGAGAGAGGGAAATGGCGTGGAGGAGGCCTTTGGAGTCGAGGAAGTTGCGCAGTAGTGAGCGGATCTCGCATGCCGGCACATGCTCCCTCTCGTCTAACGTTCATACTGGTTGCACACGCCACTGTTAGCCATCTCGATTCCATAAACGTCGTCCTCGCTGATTGCATGCGAGCCTGCCCTGCGGTGCTCCACTACCACACCCTCCTTGTCTGTCAAACGACCACTCCCTTGATTCAAATACGGATCTCTCCCTGCGATTTAGGCTAGAAGCAATTCCGCGGTGCGAATGCGACTTGCTTGCGCAGATGGCGGCGGTGTCTCGTCCCGTCGACGACACCCCACACTCGTGATGCGTCATTCCAACGGTGCAAGCAGCACGGGTCGAGCCAACAAGTCGTGTTTAGTGCTTGATGGAGGTGTGGTTGGTGTTCCATGGAAGCCGAGTCACGGGCGACTGGATGTCGTCGCGGAGGAGCCGCACGTTCTGCGTGAGTTCGGGCGAGTTGCCGTCCGAGAGGTGGCAGATTTGAAACGCGTGGTTGTTGAGGAGTTTGGCCATCACGACGGCGTTCTCCGTTCCATTCAGTCCCATGTCTTTGACAAACATGCTGGGCGGCGCGACGTCGTACTTGGTCTTGGGCGCCGTGCTACGGTGTTCACCCCGCGTTGCTTCACACGATTGAAATGTCCATCGGGTCGCACCTCGACAGACTCTTGCGGTACTTGGACACGATCGGCGGCGCCAGCGCCGTATTGAGCTTATCCTTCATGCACAGGACGCGGCGGATGCGCTCTTCCATGATGCGCCTACGCCGATATCCGTTCGTCAGCACGCGTGTCATGCCCAACCGGCGCGATACGTTTGCATCGCATGGAACGACATCGCGCCGTCATTCGAACGCGGGACGAGCCGGAACAGCTCTTCAATGTCCGACCGCGTATGCCGCGGTAGGTGCTTCATATACTTGTCGGCCTGCCGCAACACTTGCTCTTCCTAGATCGTTCGTCTTGGTGCGTGGCGCCGCCCGACCTTTGTCGTACCTCATCCTGCGACAGCCCGATCATGCCGTACACGGACAAAATGTCCTCGCGCTCGATCGAAGCGCACATCGTGTTGAGTTCGATGTCCGTCACCACTAAACACGGATCGCCCTGAGTTTCGCCGCAACCCATTTACGCGGGCTGCCACAGCCGTCCGGACCGCGGCAGCGCCACAAGCACATGCCAGATTATACCGTGGAGGCCCTTCTCGCCGCTCCGGAGGCGGGACTTGGCATCGAGTGGCCCGTACAGCGAAAAGACAAAGAGGCGGCCCGTTGAGTTGGGGTGTTGGATGTTGGGTGGGAACAAAAAGCTCATGAGCGCGTCGAGATGCACCTACGCGGCCCGTCAGTCGTCCGTTCTCATGATCGCACCAGCATGCCAACCATGGCTTTCCCTGCGTCGTCCGCGGCAAGGTCGCCGTCGGCTTGCTTGCCCGCGTTCGCCCCCGAATGCGCTAGTACCACCACCCATTCATCCACACGAGCAGCGGCGCTGCCACATACCAAACAAGAATGCGACCTCGTCGGACACGTTGTAAGGAAAGCGGCTGCTCCGCACACCAACGTGCTTGCCGTCCTGTGCAAACGTCGCGCGAAGGCAGGTTGGATTGGATGCCCACTGCGCCGGATTCTGCGGCCCCACGAGATCCAGCATGGCCTTGACGGCATTCTGCTTTTCCAAGAGAAGAACGACGATGGGACCGCTGCTCAACGCTGCAATCGCGTCGTCCGCAGTCTCGCCCACGTCCCGGGGTGTCTTTCCTGGCGACGCCGTGCCTACTCGTGGAGATGGGTCGTCCGATGGCCGCGGTGTCTTGTCTCGAGGCGATGGCGGCGACGATGGAGGACCACCGTCTTTCCTGGCAGACGTAGAGGCAGCTGTACCACCGCGGCCTGTGGGTGCGCCGCGCGCAGTCCGTCCGCCCGTCTATGCATCATAATCCATCAGCATGATCATCCTGACGTCGACCTGGCAGGAGACAACCAACCTTCTTCGCCGCGTCCTCCGGTTTGAGGAGCTTGTCGTAGTAGTACGTAGCAGCACGGTCCGCTGTCAAGTTGACAAGGGTCTGGTCGACAATGCGAAACCCGGCCTGCGTCACTCGAAGGCGGATGGCTTCGTCATGGGCGAGCGCTTCGCGCTGGATGACAAACACCGTCCTTTGAAGCGGTAAGGTCAGTGCATCTGCGTCTCCCATGGTCGGTCACAAGTGCCCAAATGCACCAAAGGATAAACAAGCTATATTTAGCGGGCGGAGGTGGCGACTTATTCCACCGTGGCGGCAATTGGATATCCTAAATATTCGAGTGGATACGCGCTATGGACTCCACGATTCGTCGCCGAGTTGTGCCTTGCCCGACCGGACATCCTCGAAGGTCGGGCTCTTGTCGACGAGTGTCCAAGTTGCATCGACGTCGGGGCTCGCAGATTTGTCGGGGGGTGTCTGGATCGCCAACAATGCAGGTGGAGGTGGCGCTTTACAAGGATCTGGAATGCGGATGTGGATTGTTGGTACGAGCACCGTGTCCAATGTATCGATATCTTCGTCGTCGTCTTCGTCGTCATCATCGCTCGTGACGCCGTCGCTTTCGTCGTCGGAAAATGTGGCTGTCGTGTCTTGCGCGAGTTTCTTCAGCATGTCCAAGTTGATTTCGCGGCGACGGGTCTCATCCGGCGACTTGTGGTAGAACGGATTGTTCGTGTCGTGCATGCGCCGCCGCAATGGGGACGTCGTCGGCGGCGCGGAAGAACTCAGCCCATGGTCGCGTGCCATCGTCGCCCTGGTTTGTCGAATGGCATTCGCGTGAGATCGGCGGAAATTCCATGTAATCGACAAACGGGCCAATCAAATCGCAGGATTTCGACCATAGGCCCGTCGACGTCGAGAAAATCTGAGTTTTCTAAAAAGCTATACAAATCTCCCTACAAAATCGCGAAAATGAAATAATATTTCCACGTTGAAGTTGACATCGCAAGCCGGTGTCGCAGCCTGCCACGTCATGAAGTTCGAATTTAACGCCTTCTTGATAAGACGTCGTGTGTTTAAACGCGATCTCGTCCGCCTCCATCCAACGGGCTGTATACCCCAAGGCCGGGACATGCTCAAGTTAACGTATTGAAGTCAAGCCCCTTGACGTGAATGTGCTCGTTTTCACGATTTGTGAGGGGATCGTGTCTTCATGGGTTCATATGTATATGTACTCGGGATGAAACCGACCCGTGCGTTTCGCTGGGTGCAGCGAGTTTAACGTGTAGAAACTAGAAATAACGTAAAAATCGAAACACGTCGATTTGTTGACCTCGATGTGGACCAGATGGCCGCGCGGCTGACTCCAGCTGAGAAGGATGGGTGGTGATGATGGAAGGTCGATGTTGATGGAAGGTCGATGTTGATGGATAGGATCGGTCTATGGTACACATGCAATTGCAACAGGCGCGACGGCGTCGGCGGTGCTGATGGCTGCCTCCACTGTCTGCGCCCGTCGCGGTCCGTCCGGCCTTTGTCCTAAGCAAGGTTGAGGTCGGCGAGGACTTGGTCGATCGTCTTGCCGCCCTCGAGCTCCTTCTCCAACTCAATCAGTTTGGCGACACCGTCGATCATGGTCTGGACGAGCTCGACTTCACTCTTCCCGATACGCGCCTTGTTTGACACGTCAAACATGCCGCCCACCGCCGCGCTGTGCTCGCCGGCAGACCCGCGGGGCTGCAGCCCGAGCGAACTGCAGATCTTTTCGAGTTTGTGCACGTCTTCACCGAGCTTGAGCAATCGGACGAACATGCTGGCGCGCAGACCCGTGCCCAAGTTGGACGGACACGTCCCGAGGAACCCGTGGTGATCGTTGTGCATGAACGTGAACCCGTTCTTCTTGATGCTGTCCTCCACTGCCTGGACGCCCTTGACCCAGCGCGCAAAGACCGCGACAATGTCGCCGCCGTCCTGCATCGAGATCACACGCATGTGGTCTTCTTCGTTCACCCAGACCAAGAAGGACTTTTCCGTGTTGTGGAAGATTCCGCGGCCACTCGGCCAGTCGCGCGCGGCGCCAGCGCCCGTCAGCAACGTCCCGCCGCCGGGCTTTTGGAACAAGAAGTGGTCCTTCTGAAGCTGATCTTCTTCGTCCTTGGTCATGCCGCCCAATGGGTAGTACTTGCCCGCGAGTTCTTCGTTCAGCGCAGTCAACGCCGTGCTGATCAAGTTCTCGACTTGGAGACGCTCGGCGCGAGTCGTCCCGGGCGGAAACGCCAACCCACGGATGTTGCGACCGGCGCGAACTCGCGTCGACCCGATGTAGCTCATGTCGAGCTTGTCGGACCGGACCAACTTGGTCACGTCCATATCTGTGACGTGCTTTGCGTCCGGTTTGAAGCCGTGCCAGCCTTCAATCACAGGATCATACAAGTCCTTGAACAGCGCGTAACTTTCTTCGTCGCCGGCGACTACACCGACACCAAGGTGGGGGTTGTCCAGCCCCGTCTGGATAGCGTCGTCGATCGTGTACCCCTTGGCGGTCTTGAGGTCCTTGAGCTTGTCGTAAAGCTCGGGCGTTAAATGCTTAGCCATGAGCGACCGGTGCTTGGGCGTGAAGTACGGGTAGTTGGACTCACTCGACGGCTTGACATCGATCGCGGCCTTTTCGGCGCTCGCGGTCGCGGGCGCTTCAATCACCGGGTTCGGCACGCGTTCTTTGGGAATGAGGTCGTCGATGGATTCGCCAGCCACGAGCTTCTGCTCGAGCGTAATGAGCAGCCGAATGCCATTGATCATGGTCTGGACGAGCTCTGCTTCGGAATACCCGATGCGCTGCTTGTTCGAGACGTCGTACACGCCGCCGATGCTCGCGCTGTGCTCGCCATTGGATCCGCGCGGCTGCAAGTTGAGCAGCTTGCAAATGTTCTCGAACCGTTCCAAGTTTTCGCTGAGCTTGGGCAGCTTGATCATGACGCTGGCGCGCAGCCCCGTGCCCAAATTGGACGGACAGGTCCCGATGAACCCGAGGTGATCGTCGTACATGAATTCTCGGCCCTTGGCCTTGATGCTGTCCTCGACGCTCTTGACGGCCCGCGTGAAGCGCTCGAAGACGGCGCCGATGTCGCCGCCGTTCTGCATCGAGATGACGCGCATGTGATCTTCTTCGTTGCACCAGACCAAGAACGTCTTTTCGTCGTTGTGGAAAATGCCACGGGCAGACGGCCAGTCGCGCGCGGCGCCGGCGGCAGCCAACAACGTGCCACCTCCGGGTTTTTGGAACAGGAAGTGGTCGTCGATCAACTTCTGTTCAACTTCTGGCGTCATGTCGGTCAGCTTGTAGAACTTTCCCTTCAGGTCCCCGTCCATGGCGGTCAAGGCCGTGTCGAGGAGGTTCATAACGTCCTTACGATGCGCGCGCGATGTGGCTGGCGGCAGCGGCAACCCACGGATGTTGCGTCCCGCGCGGATGCGCGTCGAGATGATGTACTCGTCGGGAAGCTTGGCGTCCGTCAAGTGGGTTGGGTCCAAGTCACGCTTGTGCACCGCATCCTTCTTGTACCCGTGCCATCCTTCAATGACGGGGTCGAACAGATCCTTAAAGATCACGTACGATTCTTCATCGCCAGCGGTGACACCGACGCCAAGGTGGGGGTTGTCCACTCCCGTCTGGATCGCACGTTCGAGGGTGTATCCCGTCGACGTCTTGAGTCCCTTGAGCTTCTCGTACAATTCTCGGGTCAAGTGCTTGGACATGAGCGAGCGGTGCGCGGGCGTAAACTGCGGGTATCCCAGCAGTCCAGCGTCAAGGTTCTGCGCATTCTCGATCTTCTGAGCGATCTTGCTGGGCGAGGCGCTTCCAGGACGTGGTGCAGCGGCGTCGGTCATGCTCGTGTTGCCCGGGAAATTGAGTTGTGAGCGCAGAAACGACCGCGCCGCTTCACCACGATGGGCACTGAAAATAGCATCTTCATCTGCCAATCAGATCGCTTGAAATCTGTATTTTTAGAAAAACTCAGATTTCTAGCCAATCAAACGCGGCGAACTTTCTAATTTCGGTGGACGTTTTTTCAATGGAGACACCCCGAGGTGAGGCCGACCGCAGTCGAGCGAGCGCACGCCGTCGACTAAGTATAGACCCGGGCTGATGCTGTGACGTATTGATAAGGTCCTCTCTGAGTGAGCGAGCGGTAGTGGGATGCAGCGTGGAGCCTCCGAGATTTCAGGAACAAGTCAAACCGAATGCACACTACGTTCTGACGAAGGGATTGCAATGCCCAGCGCAATTGCACCACAAAGTACTTGATAAGCCCGCTCTTGCGACTTCCACGCTCTTGCGACTTCCACCAAGGATGGTGGCATCGTCCTCGGATAACAACCGTGCGAGCCTCAGTGCCAAGCGCGGTACTGCGACGTGCATGTCACGACGCCATTGTGCACGGACGAGCGCTTTGAGCCAGTGATGAAACTCGACGGTTCGAATCGATTTGAGCACGAAAACGTCGCGGCGGAGCACTTCCTCTTCATGGGATGTCATACAACCGAGCCCAACCACGATGTACATGGTGTACTCGGTGGCGAGCGCCCGCGGCAGCACGACAAAGGCCAGGACGACCAACGGTACCGTCAACAGCGACGTCGACAGGGCCGCGACGTGGAATCGCACGCGGAACCCTGACCGATGGACAAACAGGACCGCATTCAGTAGCCCCATCAAGTACAGATCCGCCAGCGTCGGGTCCGCCGTGGCCGTGAAAGCGATGAAGACTAAGCTCGCCATCGCGGCGATGCGGATGCTGACGACGATGCCTGCGCCGCGGGAACGTATCCTTGACTAATCTGCTTGAGCTTGAGATTTTCATCGCGTCGATGGGCAAACGCGTCAAAGGAAGGCTGCGGGGGCGCGTGGGAGGTAGATTGCGAAGCGAACCGACGACTGAGGACGTGGATGAAGGCGACCATGGCGACGTAGGCCGGGACAACAACTACAAACCGTGTGACGAATGCCGCCGACGTGACGACCCCTGGCGGCAACACTTTCATGTCTTGGATGCCAAGAAGGCACTGGCTGAGCACGGCGCTGACCAGCGCGCTGCGCAGTACGTTGACGGTGCCGTGGTGGAGCAGCGGGTTGTGAATATTTTCAAACGGGAACGGATCGATGAGGTACCAAAACTGGAACGAACGACGCTTCGACGATGGCGAAACTGAAGACGGAAGGGATTCTGCGCTTTGTGGCGGCGATACCACTCCAGTATCGCGTCCGTGGTGAAAAAGAGGTCGTGGTGGCGGCACCATTCGTCGGGATTGCCGGGAGAAGGCCTTGGAATGGTTGGTGCAGCGCAAAGTTGCGGCGGCGAAGGAGTTCCTAGTACTCCATAGCCGCATGGGGTCCACAAGTCCTTCGAAAGGATGGCGACAGATATACCTGGCGGTAGTGGGGATACCAGGCCACCCAAGACGCGTATTGCGTAGTTGAAAGTTTGATACACGACGGCATGCGGTGTATCAGCGCCTGGCACGACGTAGGCGGCGGTGAGGTGGACCGTCAAGTAAACGCCCACGATGAACGACCCAAGGGCTGCGCTGTGTACGAAGCGCATGCGGGTGATACCAAAGATGGGAATAAGCAGCAGCATGAGCTCAAGGACCGGACCGTGTCGCTGGTGAAGAAGTTTCTGGACGATGAGAACGAGCGATACGATGCCAAAGACGAGGCACGTCGCAACGTCGTTAGGTACACGAGGGAGGCGGCAAGTTGGAAGGGTCGCGACACCGCCCAGGACGAAGCTCGGCAGCGCAATGGCATAATCCAACACAAATGCAAGCGCCGAGGATTGGTTGTGCTGGATAAACGTGTCATACAAACGGAACGCGATAAAGGCGACGGCGGCAAGAAGATGTACGTCCAACGCAGACGAGCGACGGATGCCGCATCAGTTGCAGCAGCGAAGGCTTCTTCTTGTCGTCGTGAGAAGCGCAACGAGAAGGTGCTCATGTGGACTTGGCTCTGTAGCAGCGCAAATTGCCGGTCACAGTACGATTTCATCTCAAATTCCTGCACCACACCTACGACGTGGTGAACTCGACCTGTGCGACAACACGC